GCAGGTTCGCCAGTTGAGGTCCAATAGATTTCTGCGATGAAGGTCCAATGGAGGGGTCAACCAGTCGAGGAAGCGACTTGGGAGGCTGAGGAGGACATGAGGAGCAGATATCCGCACATGTTTAGCACTCTAGGTATGATTCTAGACCCCTTCAAGGACGAACGTTTAATTAAGAGGTGGACAATAGAACGACCTGACCGATTGTTTTGCTTCCTAGATCCTCGTTTCTCTAATTAAGACTCCTTGTATGTGCTTTAACTATTTTATGACCTACGGGGAAGCTTGGTTCGAGTTTGGAAGGGTTCAGGTTGAAATCGGAACACTTAGTTCCTTAATAGTAGTCTAAATGGTTAAGTTTGACTTGAGTTAACGTTTTGAGTAAACGACCTCATAACCAGGATTTGATGATCACAATAGGTTCGTATGATGATTTTGGACTTGGTTGTATGTTCGGATCGGGTTTCGGATGACCCGGGAGCGTTTCGGCGATTAATATTAAAAGTTGGCACATTGAAGGTTTTCCAAGTCCTTTAAGTTTGGTTTGGAGTAAACTTTGGTGTTATCGAGGTTCGTTTAGGATCCCAGCCTGGGAATAGTTCCGTATGGTGATTTATGACTTGCATGCAAAATTTGGCGTCATTCCGAGTTGATTTGATATGAATCGGACGTGGTGAAGTGTTTGTAGAAGTTTTAGAGTTTCATAATTTGATTCATGCGTTTTGGCATCCGATTTGTACTTCTAGATGTTATTTTGGTGTTTCGATCGCACGATCGGGTCCGTATTATGTTGTTGGGTGTGTGACTGTAATTGGACGGGGTCTCGGGTGCCCCGGATGCAAAATGGATTGGAATCGGATTCGGAATTTGGCTTGGGGGACTGCTGGTGTTTCAATTTTGGTGCGTTCCCACCTGCGAGGATTTGGCTGTTGGTGGGACCTCGCATAAGCGGGCTATTGACCTCAAAAGCAGTCTAGATCAGACTGCCAAGTGGTCGCAGAAGCGGAGGGTTAACCGCACATGCGAGCTCGCAGGTGCGAGGAAGGTGGTGTAGGTGCGGGCTAGGCCAAAGAGGCTTGGGGATCGCAGGAGCAGTCGTTTCTCCACAGGCGCGAGTGTGCAGATGCGGACCAGCTCCGCAGAAGCAGACCAGCACCACAGAAGCAGATGCGTAGGTACACATGCTTCTCAACAGAAGCGGACTTGGCCAAGCTGGATGAGGACTGCATCTGCGATGGATTTTCCGCAGGTGCGACCCAAGGTCTGCAGAAGCGGAAATCGCTGGGCAGTGAGGCCTTTTAATCCGAGACTTAGGCCATTTTTCCTCACATTTCATTTGGTCTTGGGCGATTTTGAGAGCACATTTGAGAAGGATTCTCATCAATATCCTAAGGTAAGTAACTTCTACCCATTTTCAAGTTAATTATGCGGGTTTTAGGTAGATTAAACATGGAAAGATAGTGAAAACTTGTGGAAATTGTGAAACACCTAGGGTTTTGGTAAAAATAAGATTTGATCACGAAATTGGTTATGGAATTAAGTAAAAATTATATATTTGAGTTCGTAAGGCTATGGGTAATATTTATCTTCGAGAATTTTTAAAATTCGGGCACGTGGGCACGGGGGAAAATTTTAAGAATCTTCCAATTTGGGTTGGGTAATTACTCTAATAGCTGAATTAAGGACTTTTGAGCACATATTTATTAAATTATATAATATTTGACTAGTTTCGGATTATTCGACATCGACTTAGGGCTTTTAGAGCTAATTAGTGGACTGGAAGTGAGCTTGGAAACGAGATAAGTCTCTTGCCTAACCTTGTAAGAGGGAACTCATCTCCTTAGGTGTATCTTATTGTGTATTACTTGTGTGGGAAGCTACATGACGAGAGTCCATGCGTAGCTATATTCCATGATATGCCCGGGTAGCCTTAAATCCATATCATGCCTTTAATTGTACTGTTGTGTTTATCATGCGTATTAACTGTCTTGAATAGAGCTGAGACTAGGGATTTTAAAGTTGCAATTATCAACTTAGCCTTCTTATTTTGGAAAATTGAGGAATACTTAATAACTATGAAAAATCCATGTCCTTTCGTGTTGCAAGTACTTCTGCGAGCGAGGTAAACTTCTCTACTCTAATGGGATCAGGTCGTTCGCCTCGCCAGTGTAATAACACCACTCTTATGGGATTGGGTCATTCACTCCGACAGTATGGTAGCACCACTCTTATGGGATCGGGTCGTTCGCCTTGACAATATTATGGTAACACTATTATTATGGGATCGGACTGTTCGCCTCGGCAGTACTGAGTACCACTATTCTTATGGGATCAGCTCGTTCGCTTCAGCAACTTTGCGCTAAATATCGAAATGGGTTCCAGTTTTGATATAATTGAGTTAGGGTTTTCATGGCCAGTTATGAGATGTTGGTGATGTGTTACGAATTCCTGTTGTATTTAGTGTAGTTTCTTTTACTTGTCTCATTGATACCTATTGTATGTTCACCATGTCTACTTTTTACACTTCCATTACTACTATTGACCTCTACTAAGTGTCAAGTTGACCCCTCGTCACTTCTTTTTCGAGGTTAGACTAGATACTTACTGGGTACGTGTTGTTCTTATACTCACGCTACACTTCTGCACTGATGTGCAGGTACTGAGACAAGTTTTACTAGTGGTCACGCGGGCGTGTAGCCAATCATTACAGAGACTTAGGAATGAGCTGCTTGCCTTGCTATGATCCGCAACACCGGAGTCTCCTTCCATCTTATTTATTATTCTTGTCTATTACTTTTGGATATTAGTTTTAGTAGTTTTGTATATTCTCTAGATTGATCATGTACTTGGGATGCCGGGTTTTGGGGGAATTGTAGCACTTGTGTACTGCTGTACATGTCGTTTTGATCATCGCAGACCATGTACTTATTATGTTGATATTTTATTTAAAAAGACTTGTCACAGTTACATGAAATTCAGTGTAATTAAAAAGAAGTTAAAAAGGGATAGATAAGTAGCATTCTCGCTTGTGGGCTTCCTTAACGACGGTGTTAGGTGCAGTCTCGACCTAGTACGGAATTGGGTCGTGACAGCTTGGTAGCTGAACAAGGTTATAATCAAGAACAAGAACCCACTACCGCGTATTGATGATTTATTTGATAAGCTTTAGGGTGTTAGAGCATTCTTGAAGATTGACTTAAGATCAGGGTACCATCAATTGAAGATCAGGGCTTCAGACATTCATAAAATGATTTTCAAGACCCGTTATGGCCACTGAGAGTTCTTGGTTATGTCTTTTGGGCTGACCAACGCCCCAACAGCTTTCACGCACCTGGTGAACATCGTATTTCAGCCCTATATTGATTCCTTCATTATAGTTTTCATTGATGATATATTAGTGTATTCTCGCATCCAGGAGGAGCATGAGCAGCACTTGAGGATCGTTCTCCAGACTTTGAGGGAGAAAAAGCTATATGCTAAATTCTACAATTGTATTTTGGTTAGACACGATGGCATTCTTAGGTAACGTGGTGGTCAATGAGGGGATTAAGATGGACTAAAGAAGATTGAGGCAATTTAGAGTTGGCCCAGACCGTCTACTGTTACTTAGACCCGAAGTTTTCTTGGGTTGGCTTGGTATTATCACCGTTTTGTGGAGGGGTTTTCGTCCGTGCATCCCCATTGACTAGATTGACGCAGAAGGGTGCCCCATTTAGGTGGTCTAATGAGTGTGAAGAGAGATTTCAGAAGCTCAAAACTGCCTTAACTACAGCTTCAGTTTTGGTTTTGCCTTTTGGGATCGAGTTCTTATGTAGTCTATTGTGATGCTTCACGAATTGGCATTGGATGCGTGCTGATGGAGGAGGGTTGAGTGATTGCTTATGCTTTGCGTCAATTTAAGCCCCATTAGAAGAACTACCCAGTACACGATTTGGAGTTGGCAGCCATTGTTGACGCACTCAAGATTTGGAGGTATTATCTTTATGGCGCGTTTTGTGAGGTGTTCACCGATCACAGGAGTCTCCAGCACTTATTCAAGCAAAAGGATCTGAACTTAAGGCAATGGAGGTGGTTAGAACTACTAAAGGACTATGATATCACCATTTTTATCATCCGTAGAAGGCCAATATGGTGGCTGATTCTTTGAGTAGGATGGCTGAGAGCATGGGAGTCTTGCTTATATCCTAGTTGGGGAGAGACCATTAGCATTGAATGTTCAGGCTTTGGCCAACAGGTTCGTGAGGTTGGATATTTCGGAGCCTAGAAGGTTCTAGCTTGTGTGGTGTCACGATCGTCCTTATTTGAGCTCATCAAGGCACGTCAGTATGATGATTCCGACTTGCTTGTCCTAAGGGACACAGTGTAATATGATAATGCTAAGTATGTAACTATTGGAGATGATGAGATATTGAGGCTTTAGGGCAGGATCTGTATTCCAGATGTGGATGAGTTGCGAGAGTTGATTCTGTAAGAGGCTCGTAGTTTGCGGTATTCCATTCATCCAGGTGCCGCAAAGCCGCAAAGATGTACCAGGATTTGAGGCGGCACATGATGAAGAGGGATATTTTTGAGTATGTTTCTCAATGTTTGAACTATCGGCATTTATGTATTTGCATGAAATAGAAAATGAAGAATAAATAAATCCATTTTATGATAGGAAATATCAAGTGTAATTTAAAACCCAACATTTTAATTATATTGGTGAAAAACAAAAATATTTTTCTCTATTACTCTATTTGCACAGTTTTTATAATAATTAACTTACTACTCACTTTCTGATTCTCTCAAATAGTAATTAGAACATGAGTCACATGTAGAATAGATAAATCTATCTTTGTGGATTGACATCTTTCTATATTATTATTTGATAGAGCTTAAAATTTACATACGCTAGTAACTCGTCAATATACAAGTTGCAAATATTCTCTCGATCTAACAAAAGATTAAGCGGATTGAAAAGTATTAGCCAAAAATCATTCTATTTCAACCCATAGAAACAAAAATAAGTCAAACATGTTGTGACTATCATACAACTTGCTATCTTATATCTAGTAGTTTAGGCCAACTGCCAAAACAGTAAATAAAAACCACTTTGTAATGACCGTAAGAATTCAGTGGCCCCACGAGCCAAAGTGAACTGTTAGAAGCAAAAGAGACACAGTAAGAAAAATAAACAGAGGACCAAAGCAAATTGACGTAACCCTAAGCCAAGTAAGCAGCAAATTTAGCAGTGAAAATTCAGATTCATGATTCTAACATAATGCCAGGACTGTAGAATCCCCTAACCCAGTAAATAAACCTCTGGACATTTAGTTCTCAGCCCCTAGCCCTTTATTTCTCTCTCAACATCCTCAAATCTGCCAGAAAATTGCTCCTTTCCATCCAAATCTACCAACAAAAGTAGAAGAAGCGTCTAAGCGATTTACCAAAACATGTTAGCAATCTCAATGATAAGTAAAATAAAAGGCACGTAGATGCTGTGAACATGACACAAACCAGTACAATATGCTCTCACATTTTATACATTAGCTTTGAAGTCGTGATTTGAGCTCGTCAACCACCGCATCAATGAACTCTTCTGTGCTTAGGTAATGATCTCTAGAGAGCCTATAAGTTTTTTGAAGAGCAAAATATGAGAATAGCAACTCCTAGATAAAAGCTTAAAGAAAGAAATATAAATAAAAGACAAGAGGTAGACTTGGATCCGTGGATGATAAGTGCTAGATCTTTCGTCATCTTTCCAGATTCCACTGCACCAACACATGCCGCTTCTAGTTTCTCAGTGAAATCTAAGAGCTTTTCATTATTGTCCAACTTTCCCCTGATAACAAGATATTATTTTTGTTCAATGTTCAATAACCAATCAAGTGGACTCGAACAAGCCAACAAATGAACAGGTCCAAGTATCAAGTTCAGCAAGTCAAAAATCACAATCTCCTACCTGTGTGCAAGTCCACGCGTCCAAGGAAAGATTGAGGCAATGCTGTTTGTGCTGGTTTCGCCTCCTTTCTGATGAACCCTATAGTGGCGTGTAACAGTTCCATGGGCTGCTTCAGCCTCTATGGTCTTTCCATCAGGACATATCTGACTCAAATAAATGAACCTTTTCACAATCCAAACTAAGTTATCATATCTCCAGTAAAATTTAAATTGATCTAAAGAGCCTGACAAAGTATAGCAATACTTTTGGCCTGACAACCTACCAGAACAGATGTCATCAACCCAAGGGATCCAAACCCTGTTCCAAGAAAAAAGGAGGAACAGTTATAAGCTTAGGAGCAGAAATGTAGGGAGAGAAACAGGAATATTTTGTTCAGCACCCTTTTGTATTCAGTTTTTCATATTATTACTTCAATGCTACATTTACGCAGATCTTTTGAACAACAAAATCAGTATTATCTTTAATGGAAAGGAAGTAAATGGGAACTTGTTGATCTACTCTATCAGGTGAAGTATTCTTTCCCTCAAGCATTTGACACAACCAAGAAGGAATTTAAAAAGACCTTGCAGTTCCCATCTTTTAGGGAGATTGGAAACAATTGATGCGGAAGGGCACTATCCTTCCACTTTTACATCCCCTTCTCCATCACTTATTTATGACAGGAACAATACTACACTCCCCTCTTGTTTACTACCCTAAAACGACTCCTCTTCAAATGTGCCAACATACCTTGCGCTAGAAAATCACTCTGTACATCACCATCATAGTTCTTGCAAGCCCATACATAACCACCTTCACTTTTTAAAGCATAAGCAACCATATCATCTATAAGACGGTGTTCATACCTACAAACTCGAAGCATTAAACTGTCAATGTTTTGTGCAGGAAATAATACGAACAGTTTCACAAATTCAAAACTGAATGCTAACCAGATTCCTGCTTCCTCAAACTTTGACTTCCAATTTGCTTCATAAACCTCTTGAAATATGTCCTTGAACCTTCAGAAGAGTAGAGAACAAGCAGATGTCAAAAGAAACATAAAAAACGGAATAAGGTGCCATCCTAGTCCATAAATGATACGCAATGATAAAAGAAAATGAAAGTGGACCAACACCCGGGCTGCGTACCTCCCATCATACTTCTTAAGGATGGTATTCTTTGTACTAAGATAGAGAGGCCATTTCTTTTGTAATGCCATGTTCATTGAAGCTTCAGCAAATGAGTGAATGGACTGCATGACATCAACAAAGTGATATCAAAATGATGCATATAAGTCTATGAATTTATATGTCAATTTTGATAACAAATCAAACACTTTTAAAAACAAACCTCGTCTGTGTTATACATGGATAGAGCTACTCCACCAGCACCCGTAAAGTTATAAACTTCTAACTCGGTCTTCTCATCCTTCCCTTCCGGTACTGCAGAAAGGGAATACGTCTGAGCATACATTTTCTAAATAGGTTATAAAAACTTCTAACATTTAGCATTAAGATCAAATAGGTAAAGAATAATTAAAGGAATAACTTTACCGAAAACTAGTTTGAGTTTTCCAGCTCCTTGAATAACTGTATCAGTTGCTCGATATTGATCTCCAAAAGCATGTCTACCAATGCATATCGGTTTAGACCAACCTTATAGAAAAGATGGATAAAACCAGCCAGATTGTTTAATGTCTCATGTTCAAATGAACTCAAAAAGGATTGAAAGCAGTAAGTATAAGAAACTAAAGATACCAGGGACAAGTCGGGGTATATTTTTGCAGAGAGATGCCTGCAGTAAATGCCAATCTCCATAAGATATTTTCAAGTAACTCATATGTTTGGAGATACCATGTGCAAGAAAATAATAAATAAAGGAATCCACAATCACCATTTAGAATGTTCCTAATTATTCCATTTGGGCTCCTCCACATATATTTCAAGTCGAACTCCTTCATGCGTGCTTCATCTGCAAAGCAGCAGTACATGAAGCGATATTCTAGTTATAGTTTTTAAAAATAGCTGATTGGCGTCAATATTATGAGTGAAGTTGAAAGAATGAAAAGCATCCAATTGGACGCTATAATAAGCACCTGGAGTAATGGTTGCACATTTAATTGCAACATTGTACCTGCAATTAAACCATATAATAATCAGACACTAAGATACTTGAAGAAGGCAGAAAATAGTGAGTGGTGAACCTACTTCAACTAAAATGGGAAGGCATATAGAATGAGAATCGGTGGTCAGTAATAAATAATGATGAATAACAAAACATACTTCAAAGTAGCTTCAGCACTTTCAATTGTAACCTTATCATCTGTGGCATCACGGTGGGGAAGGCCAAGGTCAAAGTACTTTATATCCAGCTCCAGAAAGGGTAAGATAAGCTAAAGCGCACAAAGAGAGTTTATCTATGAGCATCCCGTCAATTTCATTAGGAGTATAAAAATAAGAAATGATACTGTGTAGAAACAAGCCAAATATACTCCTCTTAGACCCTCACCGCAGACCGCATAAAAGGGTTGCGGCCGCGAAGCTCCACCGCGGACTGCAAGAAATCGAGCACGGCCGCGAAGGCTTGGCCTTGCTCACCGCGGACCGCATAAATCCCACCGCAGTCGCGAAGTCCCCACCGCGGCCGCGAAGGTTCCACCGCGGACCGCGAGACCTGGCTTCAGAGACCTGCAACTTCTCTGAACCTGCAACTTTTTCCTAAGTGTAAAAACATCCCAAAACCTATCCGAAATTCTCTCGAGCCCTCGGGGCTCCATACCAAATATGCATACTAACTCAAAAATATCATATGGGCTTACTTGTGTGATCAAATCGCCAAATGAACACCTTTAACAACGAATTTAGCATCAAAATCAAAGAATAACCTCATGAACTCTTAAGTTCCATTTTTTAACAACCGAGGGTCCGATTCAGATCATTTCAAGTCCGTTTCTTACCAAATTTTACAGGCTCAGCTTAAATACCATATAAGACCTATACCGGGCTCCAGAACCAAAAATACGGGCCCGATACCATCAAAATTTTACACATTCGAATTTCTAAAAACTCTTAAAATTTCAGTTAAACAATTTTTTTCAAAAAAATTCATTTCTCGGGCTTGGGACCTCGGAATTTGATTCCGGGCATACTCCCAAGTCCCATATTTTCCTGTGGACCCTCCGGGACCGTCAAATTATGGGTCCGTGTCTATTTACCCAAAATATTGACTGAAGTCAACTTTATTCAATTTTATAAGCAAAACCTATCATTTTTCACAGATTGTTTTCACATAATAGCTTTTGGGATTCACGCCCGAACTGCGCGCGCATATCGCGATAAGATAAAAGGGAGGTTTTAAGGCCTCGGGACACAGAATTTATTTCCAACCCAAGTGATGACCCAAAGGGTCAGCACATTCTCCACCTCTAAAACAATCGTTCGTCCTCGAACGGACATAAGAAGGAAGTACCTGAGTCGGAGAAAAGATGGGGATATCGGCTCCACATATCGGACTCGGACTCTCAGGTCGCTGCCTCAACAGGCTGACCTCTCTAGTGAACACGAACAAAAGTGAAACTCTTCGATCTCAACTGACGAACCTGCCGATCTAGAATAGCTACCGGCTCCTTCTCATAGGACAAATTCTTGTCCAACTGGACAGTGCTGAAGTCTAACACATGGGATGGATCGTCGTGATATTTTCGAATCATGGACACATGAAACACTGGGCGCACGGCTGATAAACTTGGCGGCAACGCAAGTCTGTAAGCCACCTTTCCCACTCGATCAAGAATCTCAAAAGGACCAATGAACCTATGGCTAAGATTGCCCCTCTTCCCAAATCTCATCACACCCTTCATAGGCAACACTCGAAGCAACACCCGCTCGCCGACCATGAATGTCACATCACGAACCTTACGGTCGACATAACTCTTTTGCCTAGATTGAGTTGTACAAAGCCTATCCTGAATGATCTTGACCTTGTCCAAGGCCTTCTGTACTAGATCCATACCCAACAACCGAGCCTCTCCCGGCTCAAACCATCCAACCGGCGACCGACATCGCCTACCATATAAAGCTTCATAAGGAGCCATCTGGATGCTCGACTAGTAGCTGTTGTTGTAGGCAAACTCTGGTAAAGGAAAGAACTGATCCCATGAACCTCCAAAGTCCATAACACAAGCTCGGAGCATATCCTCCAAAATCTGAATAGTACTCTCGGACTGCCCGTTCGTCTGAGGATGAGATGTTGTGCTCAACTCGACCCTGTCACACCTCCTTTTTGCGCGCCCCGCCCCCGAAGGGTTAGATGCGCGAGGGAGTTTTTCCA